TCTTAAACCCGGTTCTCAACAAGGCGGCCCATTTAAGTGTTGGTTGCTTACCCCCCCAAACAACCCCAAGGCGGGGGGTTGGGGAATTTCTGGGAGTTGAAATCCACTCATCTTAAAGTGGCCAAGTTTGGACAACACTGCTCTATACAATGTATATACTTAAAAAAAAAATTAGGCTTTATAGCTTCTGATATATTATTATTATTACTTATTACTGTTAACAGTCAGACATTTAAAGGGACAATTCTGAGTATATAAACTAAGAAAAATGATTTCCCATCTCATGGCAAATAGTTATGTTGAGTCATATGTTTAAAAAGATCAAATTGAAAGGAGGGCTAGAGACTTTTATAATACAGAAAAATGTTTATTTTTTAATTTTTAAAACAATGTTAAAAATGTTATACAAGCAAACAATGTTTTTTAAAGATAAACACAATGGACAGGTTCCAAGGAACAGTCTGCTTGCACCATAAAATCTTCAAACATGTGGTTTTTAATAGCAGCCCTTCCATCAGCTTCGGAATGGCAAATTGCTGTTGAAACTATGGAGAATTTTGAAAGCAGTTTGTAATATGGCATGGGTGTGTGTTTTTCAAAACAAGTTAAAAATATCACTGAACTAGCATAAGTCCTGGAGTGCAGCTGAGTAGCTGAGTTCTGTTTTATAAAAACAGTAACATCATTCCTTCTAATCACAAACTTAGAGGGGAAGTGCCCTGAAGATTGTAGGAAAAGTGAGCTACTGAAAAACAAAAGAGAAGTCTCAGAAGATTGGCGGGGGGGGGGGGGGGGGGGCCCCCGGGTTTTGAAAAGGAAGGCAAAAAAAAAAAAAAAAAAGAAAAAGAAAAAAGGGGGGGGGGGGGGGGGGGCCCCCGGGTTTTGAAAAGGAAGGCAAAAAAAAAAAAAAAAAAGAAAAAGAAAAAAGGGGGGGGGGGGGGGGGGGAGGACTCCAGTGTTTGCAGAAGTACGAGCAAACAAAACATAAAATCAGCAACCCAAAGAAAAACTAATAAAGATTGAAGGAACTTTTGACATAGCCACTGATAGCCATTGTTCCTACCCACCCTTTGCCAACCTTCATAAACACACTTGAGTTGCCTTCTGAGTCTTCTTTCACTGAGGATCCTCTTTACCCAGCCTTCTCTCCCTCTCCCTCAATTGGCCAGTGGCTAATGCAAAAATCTGCACGTAGCCAGTGCTCTGCCCTGTCCCTCTCATCTTGTTTTTCATCTTTGTGCATAAGAAAAAAATAATCTACAAGATTGTTAAAAGTAAAAGGAAAGAATTTAAAGGTGGTTTACTTGATCAAGGTTAAAACAGACATGTTGTTATCTCTGGTAACCTTTTTTTAGACTTAAAACCCTGGACTTTTCCTGACCAGGACTGAATGATGAGGTTTTAAGAGGTTTAAGATTTATAGATAAGAGATGAGATATGGGAAGAAGAGATAATTTGTTATATTTTAAGAGAAGGTGATAAGATACTAAAATTGTTTATAGTTGTTTTGATGAATGGGGAAGTCATTTCTTTATATATATATTTTCTTTATTATATTTTTTCTTTTCTATTTTTTAATTTTTGCACTTCCTATTTTTTCTTTTATTTTTCTTAGTTTGCATTTGTTTTTATCTTGTTAATTATAATGTTTAATAACATTATGTTAAAAAAAAGAATTATGAACTTTGAAGGAATGGGAGAATCCTAGGAGGAGGAAGAGTTTTTCACCAATGGACAACCATCTTCCTCATGATTCCAGAGAAAATGTAACACTACTACTCTGCGAGCCTCATTGGTTGCCAGTGGGCTTTTGGGTGCAATTCACCTTTAAAGCCCTTCATGGCTGGAGACCAGCTTACTTGAGGGGCCGGTTGTTTCTATTTGATCAGGTGGGATGGGCACGCTTCAGGTCCTGTCGACTAAGGAAATGCCATTTGGCAGGGCCAGAAGGTGTGCCTTTTCTGCTGTAGCACCCACCCTATGCAACATTCTACCCCTGAGATTAGGATGACCCTGACCTGCTGGTCTGTCATAAGACCCTAAAGATCTGGCTGTCTGCAGGGACCCATTTCTTGGTTGTATTGGTGATTATGGAGCATGTTTTTTCAGCTGCTACGTATTTTAATTTTTGTATTAATTATTTTAATTTTAATTTTGCTTGCCGCCCAGAATCATTTTTTGAGATGAGCCTCTATACAAATGGAATGAATGAATGAATAAATTGCTATAAAATACATTTTTCACAGCATTTCTTCCAGAGCAGCAACTGAGCTGCCTAATATAGACCTACAGATGTCAAATGGCATGGCAGTGGCACAGAGCCAATCTTGGTTTTGTGTAGTTGTTGTTTGTAAGATAATCAGTGGTTATGGAATGTAGCAGATAGATTGAAAAACAGTGTGAAACTTCGTGAAATAACTACAGCATTTTATATCAAGTTCCACTTATAAAAATGCAATAACCAAATGAACATAATCTTACCAGATATGTTATTCTGGGCATCCTCTGTTGGGAAGAATTCTAGTTGTACTAAACAAGATTTACTTCCATGAAAATGATATACACGAGATCAGGTAGTCTAAAACACTGGAACAAAATTACTTATCACTGTCATACAAACAAGGAGAGATAGAAAATTAAATCAGTCCTCTTGCACATACCAGCTTAATATAGTTACTTCCTGTAGATGTTAATTTTCACTTTAAACCTTCTATTTATAAACACTAGCTTGTTCTATTTTTAAATCTTTTTTTAAATGACTTATCCCATACAAAAACAGGTAAAGTACTATTGATTCTGCTTAGCCGAAGTCAGTGACAGAAGGATCTTCTCCAGGTGTCTGAACCACCTAAGATGAGCCAAAGAAGAACTATACTGTTGTTGTTTTTTTAATTAGAACTTAGCCTATGAATCTTGTTCCAAGGAGAGACACTAACTTCCACTTGATTAGCTTTTTGGTGTAAGTTAAGGCAGCCTTTCACAACCTCAGTATTCTCCATATGTGCTGACTTCAACTCCCAATACTGTCAGCAATAGACTTGCTGGCTGGAGAATTCTCGGAGATGCAGCTGGCTGGGGAATTCTGGTAGCTATAGCTTAAACATTTGGAAAGTATACTATTTAGAGAAGGCTGGGCTAAGGCTTCTTTTTTTCTAGGTTGTTAATGTTCTGAGTCTTAAACTGTATAATCTGCTTCCGCCCCCCCCCCCTTATAACACTTTTAGTGTGAAATGCCCAGGGTACCACTTGAGTGAAATATGCTATACAATGTATAATGACATGTAATATAAATAGATAAATACAATCTTTTTATCTGTTACTGATCTTAATTTAAGTAGTTATTTTTTTCTGAGTATTAAAACCATATAAGCTCAACTTATTGAAATTTACTTTACAGGGACTGCAAACCAATATGAAAAATGTAAATTTGATATAGTTTCCAGATAACCTAAAAGGTTCTTTGCAAATTTCTGCACTTCTACAATGTAATTTCTTTTCCACACAAAAAATATGAAAATTTCCTGCGCTGCTCATTTTATCCTAGGTTTGCTAAAACTTTCTTATATGTTTACTGACTCAATAGATTATGTTCAATCATTATATGGTTTCTTTGATCTTGGCTTAGGGTTGTGTGTGAATCTACTATGGTTTATGCAACAAGCTCTTAAAAAATCCTGTGTGAATTCAGCCAATTCGTTCATAGAGCAACTTACTTAAAGCATATCCTAGTGAACACATCACCGTACAGGGATATCAAGGTGAACAGGAAATGTTGGTTCAAATGCCAACAACACAACAGCTCAAGAAGCTAAATGAAAGAGGTGACCTAATACAACATCCTGCACAGTTTTGGTGTCACTACCTGATAGGCCTGGAACACCCTGAACTTTCAAATACTCCAAAAGTACATAACTCATCAGTAAAGCCGTGTCTATACTGAAAGGTGTCATTGTTTTCTGTATTCAAAACCGCAAGGATTTACTTTCAAACCGCGCAGCATGCCGTCTCACCGAGCTTATACGTGGTTAATGTGATTCCTCCACAGATTTATAGTTATGTTATAGTTATGGAACTTATGTTCCCTTAGTTAGAAATGCGCTTCATCTTGAGACAGCCAACGTGTTTATATTTATCGGGTCTTTTTTTAAAAAAACACTTCAACGAAATAGCGTATTGTTTTCTTTCGTCGTCCAAAGAAAGGAAATGGATTAATCATACCGATTGGTTTCCATTTCTCTTTTGTTGACGATACAATAGCATCCTTTCCTATTTGCCTTCTTGCTTCGGTCACGGCTTTTTCGTTTTCTGTTCCAAGACACGCGTTTGCGTCCCGGAGACCCACGTAAGTCGCAAAGGAAGTTTTCTCTCGGCGAACCGCCCCGGCAAGACGACGGGCGCGGACGGGCTGGGGTGCGCGCGCCCTCTTTCCGTCGCGAGGGCTCGCCTCTGAGGCCACTTTTGCGCCTCGGCGAAGGCAGGGAGTGGCGGCGGCGGCGGCGGCCCTCCCAGTCCCTCCTCTCTGGCTGGGTAGCTTTGCGGAGAGGAGGAGGGTGAGCTGTGGGAGGGTCTCCATTGAAATAAACAAGCAGCCAGTGATTAAAACGGGAACATGGCGGCCGCGGAAGACTCAGCAGCTCCAGCTTCCTCTTACAAAGCAAAGGTCAGCGCTGGCGGCAGCTTGAGCGATAGGAGCCGGAGACTTTACTGACCTCGGTAAATGGAAGCGCCTGGGCGCCCTGGCCGCTGGGCCCCTTCTCTGCGGAATAGGCTGGGGGTGGATAGCAGAGGGGCGCTCCTGGCTGTGCGCTGTCGGATAACCCCAGCTTGCGCGCGGCGCTGCCGGGGAAGGCGAAGGAGCCCCTGGAGCTGATGCCGGGAAGACCAGTGGGGGAGACGACCGGGCAGCCAGACTGGTTCTCCTCCTCTCCCCCCCGGCCTCCCCCAGAGGGAACTTGAGGGGATCTTCACCAGAAAGGGGGAGGTGTCCGTCTGGCTGTCTGCCGTTCCTCGGTGAGGGGCGTGCGGTTCCCTCGAGCGGGGAATGAATAATGGAAGGGGAAGAGAACCGTTCTGAAGTTGGGGTTTTACATCCTCGTCTCCTGCTTTCTCTTTAAAGGGAAGGTGGCGCCTCGGCCGTCTTGGTCAAGGGGGTGGGAGAAGGAGAGGAGAGCCGCCTCAGGGGAAACGGGGGTGCCGCTGGCAGGGAAAGGGCTGGCTGCGCCCCGTCCTCCTCCTCCTCTTGCTTATCGAGGGGAGGGTCGTTCCTCACAGAAGGGATTTTAGGGTGGCAGCTGAAGCGCGCCCGCTTCTTTCCGAAGGATTCCCCAGGGAGCCCCCATCCTGCTGTCCCCCAGCAAGTGTGAGGGGAACTGATCCCCTCCAGGAAGGGGAGGCGTGCAGGCGGCGGGCTGTCGCGGTGCAAGTTGCCTCGGAGGAAAATTGAGTTGAGGTGGCTAAACTCCGCTCCCGAACCGGGCTTTTGTTGTGGTTAACTTCTCCAACTTTGTGCGCGGCGGCGCGGCCTTCGCAGTCCCCCTTTCCCGGAACCCGACTAGGCCCTGCCTGCTCGCCGCTGGGTGCGAGCGCAGCCTGGGGAGCCGCATTGCTGCTTCGTGTGCCTGGCTGGGTGGGGGAGGGGACGGCGGTAGTAGTGGCGGAGGCGGCTCCGGCAGCGCCTTGACTGCGCTGTCGTCCTCTCTGCTGGGCGGCCTAGCAGCCGGATTGCTGGCCGGCGGGCTGAAGGCTTCCTGGGCGCCTCAGCGTTGGAGCACCCAGCTGTTCGGCGCCTCTTCCCGGGCTGTCTGGGCTGAATCGATCGTGCTGTGTACAATATATGGGGGTAGAGATGGAAGCGCGGGGAGACGCGTCACCTTGCTGTCTGTATGGGACGCTTTTTGTTTAATGTGGGGGCAAAGAAGAGCGTATTTCTACCTCCCCTCTTCTTACTGTATTTGGAGAATTGCGTACGCCTCCCCTTTATCCGTGTGGCAATGAGGGTGCGCGCCTAATCCCTTTTCCACCTGCTCCCTGAGCTTTCCTTGTGCAAGGGAGGGTATCGGACACAAACAGAACAATTCTGCCGTAGCTTTCGACTGAAGGTGCTCGCAGTACCTAAGGCCTTTGATTTAAAGGAGCAGAGCGATGGCGTTTTTGCTTCCTCATAGGCAGAAGCTTTTTTATTCCTTGCTCCTGCTGTTGCAAAGGTATCCAGGGTTATTGGTTGTCTTGGTAACTTTGACTTTGTTCATGTAACATCTATTTTTCATCTATGCCACCTTTCCACATCTTCTTGTCATCAGCCTGATACTGAAGCTTTCTTAAGTTCATTTGATTGTATAGAAGTAGATGAATAAATGAATGGAAGTTGAATAATAAAGATGGAAAAATACATTCATAATTCTTGTTTACTTATAAATCACATGTATAGTTCTTGCAATGACAGATTTATTGGGGGGGTGTAAACATGTTACTAGTGTGCTTTTATTATGAATATATTTCTAAAACTGCTTCATGAAAAGTTATTGATGGCCAAAAGGTTTTTCTTTTAAACTTGTTAACCAAAAACAGTTCGGTAATTTAGAATTTTCATCCAGAAAATCTGTGTGTGGTCGCTGAGAGTCAACATTTGACTTGTTGGCGCATAATCAGAAATTTAGAATTTTAGCTGTCTGGGACAGTCTCTGAAATTATATAAAAATTTTGAACAGCCTAAACTGTTCATTTCTAAATGAACATGAAGGGAGGTATATAAATTATAAAAATAAAATAAACATAACACTACATTTGTGTAGATCTTCAGGTAATTCTAGTTTCATTATGTTTTAAACATACCTTTTTTAAAAGGAAAGGTGGAAGATAAAGGTTTTTTTAAAAAATAGATTTACAACTTCATTTGTAATTCAAGTATGTAAAAGCTATTTATCTGTACTGAATCTTTCTACTGGGCATCTAAAGCAATAGCTCAGCCTTAGCCAATACAAATATAGTATGTGGCATACAAGAATGTTGATACTTGGATTACAGAATAACCACTTCTTAATTTCTTGTTCCATTATGGTTTACTGTGTTTCTTAACACAGTGACAAAATTTGCAAAAATTAATTAGTAAAAATATTGTTCAGTAAGAATCTTTCTTTAGTGGCTGCAAAGTATTGATTTTCTTGTTCAAATGTTCTTTTTTAGTAATGATTTTGGTGGTACAAAGAATATCTCTTGCTGTTTGTGTTTTAAGTGTACTGTAGTACATGAAAGGTGGTGACATAATAAGACTTACTAGTCTCTAAATTGTTGGCCAAAAGACTTTGTTTTTTGCTGGAAGGATTACTACTACTTGCCTTATGTTTAAAGATTTATCTTTTTAGACTTGTCTGTAGATTTATAGGTGGTGTCATAGATTTAACCCATGAATCTCATTGTTAAAACTCAACTTCAATAATGAGGATTAAAGTGTAAGGCAAAACTGGCTTCTCTGTGGCCTGCTAAGGATGCTCTCATTGACTCTTAAGATCCTTGGGTAACCAACCTGCCCAGTGTCATGTAATTGAGTTGAGTGGACATATAAATTCAATAAATAAATCATTGCTAGGATTTTTGTGATACTGTATATTATATGTGCAAGTCCTTTATTTCAAAAGAGGACTCCAGTGTGGAATAGCTGACATAGAATCAATAATTAAGCTTGATTGTATTCATTGTGGTCTGAATAAGAAAATGATAGTGTTATATCTTTCTATTTATTGTTTGTTTATTAATTTATAGCATGCCTTTCCTCTAGGAGCTCCCTCCTCCAGTTTTTCCCCATAGCAACAACCCTGTGCAAAGTATTGAAAAAAGCCATACCCTCTCAAAGGCTTAATGCAGCTGCTTCAAGAATGTTCATAGGTTGTATCCCCATGCAGAGACAGTATTTTCAGTGGGATTATTGGTGAAATGAAGTGGCTGTACAGGCACTTGGAAATGGAAATGACTGGGAAAGGCCTCAGCTTCAGATCTTCAGGGAGTGTAGTTTTCTTACACCAAAATGTCTCAGAAAGCACTTCTTTAAATACTTTGCACAGTCTCCCATAAATTATTTTTTACATATTGCATTTATAGATTTAGTTATTATATGAGCAATAACCCCCTGTGCTACTTCTAACACCTTTACAACTTGCTATAATTACTGTTCATTTTAACCTTTGGATAATTGTAAGATGTTTGAAAATCTAGGATGCTAAGCATACTTTTTGTGATGGGACAATAATTGCAGTGTTTTGGTGGAAAAATAATATAGGCGATAGGCATACTAAATGAAGTTGATAAAATAGGTTTAAAATAGGCTGTGTTCTACAATGCTTGTTGTCTTTTGTCACCTTTTGTTGATGATGCTACCTCCATGTTGACATCTGTTGCAGTTGTAGCTATAATGAATCCACAGGGTGTATACGTAGTGTAGAAATTTTGAGAATTGAACTTGAAAGGAAAATGTAGTTCTGAAATATTTTACAAATAATTGTGCTCTGAGTGAATTGACAGGACAATGCCTTTACACAAGTTTAATCTTTACGTTACATGCTGTATATTTGGCAAGTCCTTGGTGTTCCTTTCTCTGTTCTTGTGTTAAAAGAAGTTTCCAATAATACTAGATATGCTAACTTTTTCTTGAGAATTAAAATCTAGGTGTGTTTTCCTGTTATGGTTCATAAATATTTTACTGCTTTGATACCAAGCATTGAAGAGCCAAAGAACGTGCATTTAAGATAACAAGATTATAACAAACTTGTTAGCCACCAAGATTGTCCTGTGATTGTAGCAGCACACAAATGTAATAAATAGTGCAATACATATGCCCATGTGTGTTATAAGACTTCCTCATCTGAACCATACAATGAAATCTTGTTACAGGTTAACACTGTTGTATCTAACCTCATTAAAAAAAATGTTTAAAAAGCAGAACCTCACTTTGCTTCCTTTTTCATCTGTTCTCTGATTATATTGTTTGACCACCTTGGATAGTTGCAAATACTATCATGTAGAAGGAAATATGGCTGTAGTAGAAAAGAATTAGTTAAACATATGTATATCTATAGAAAGATAAGTGTTCTTGATTATGGTCCTATTATCTGCTTTCAGGTGCATACTCTCTTTTGCAATGAGGGATTTTGATTTTATCAAAAATGTTTTGACTTGGAAGTAAAGATAAATTTGAAGTATAGTATACTACTGTAGTAATATGTGCTGTAGATTCTTCCAAAATAGTCATTCATTCAGTAAATGAAAGTGAATCTCTTAGCAATTACATGTAAACTAAAAGATATTGTAAATAGCCTTATTCATTTTGGGGGAAAGTAAGCTTTGTTAATGTATTGCTACTGCAGTTTAGAAGCTTATGCCATTCAGTGTGTATTTATTTATTTATTAGATTTTTATCCCACCTTTATTTTTTGACAACTCAAGGCAGCGTACATATCTAATGCTTCTGCCTCCTATTTTCCCCACAACAGCAACTCTGTGAGGTGAGTTGGGCTGGCTCTCATGCCTAAGGGTTTTGTGACCACAATGCCAATTGATACTGGTTTTGTTTCATGAATTGTGACAATATGGGTTTGTTAGCAGTATATCCACTGTAGGAAGAGATTCTGAGCCCAACTCAGTATTTAATATTTCAAGTCACATAGTGAACTTTGAAATATAACATTGGATTTGGTCTTTTGAAAATGGAAATATGAATTGAGGGAAGGAGGATGAATCCCAACTGATGTTTTGAACTTTGAAAAATAGCTAAAGTTTCATATTTAATGAAATTATAACGCCTCAATCATTGGTTAGTGGAGTGCCAGAAGAGTACAAAATGTATAATGGATGCTTTCTTAAAGTAGTGTTGATAGTTCATGTAATTTTTCACTATGAAATCTGAATTACCTTTCAGGTTATCGCTATTGCCTTGTATCCTGCATAAACCCATAAGCCTGCATCTGAAATTCAACTCAGAGGCTGTTGTACAAATAATGTATATTTTCAGTGCTTCTTGACACATTCTTGACCATACTTGATAAACTTCTTTAGAAGAATATGCGGCTGAAGACCAAACAGGATGATAATACATTAAATGCATATGTGCACAGAACATGTCTTATTTTTACTTTGAAAATAAATGCCAAAGAGTTATAGCAGCAAATAGTGAAAGGTGACTTGACTTTTTACTTCTGCACTGTGCTCTTAGGAAAAGTTGACCACATCAAACCATTATTTTTTAATCCTCTGAGAGAAGCTGACCTTTTCCTTCAAGGAGAGTAGTTTGAGAGTTGGGTGGCATATAAGTTTAATAAATTATTATTTTTCAGGTACTCAGTTTTTACTGACAGCAGTGGTGTAGGATGAGAATAGTGTATTAAATCCCTTATTTTTCATGATGCAGCCCTGTTAGATCCACTTGTAGCTACTTTTAAAGAAAAACTAGGGCATATTAAATATTAAATTTTGTGTGGTCGACTTTTCCTAAGAGTACAGTGCAGAAGTAAAAAGTCAAATCACCTCTCACTATTTGCATATTAAAATGTGTATATTAGTGTATTATTTGACTTGATCTGAAACTTGAAAACCTGGGAATAATTTCCAAAGAAAAATAAAAAAGGACTCGGCATCTGTGCAGTGCTAACTCTTGTTGAACATCTCCTATCATCCCAGTCCAGTAAGCGAAAGCCGGTTCATTATTTTCCGTGATACATATATTCTTCTTAATAGGTTTAGGATTCTCCTCTTTTTGTCATATACTAGTACTGCTTCCAAGGCAATGCTAGGTAGTGAGCACACTTGAGTAACCACTGAAATGCCAGATTCAGAGCTATTTGAACTGAGATAAAATCATTGCTTGTCATGTATTTGACCTTTCATAATGTGGTTGCATATCATGATAATAAAAAAAAGTAATTCTACTGAGTTCTATGGCTAATTGCCAGTTCATTTGAATGTCATATCTATGCTCAATTTTGGTCACTAGTCATTACACTGTTGGCTTTTTTGTGGAGAATATAGAAGAGAAGTTTTATTCATTTATTTTTCAGAGGAAGGTAGAGAATGAGTTGTCACCCAAAAATACTGCAGAGAAAACTTCTGTTCTAAACTGAATTTGAAAGAGGAAGTGCACCTGTATGCTAGTAATATTGCCTAAAGCTGCTTCCTGTTGAACATTGAAGGTGTATCTTGTTCTAAAACCACTGTTGATTATTTGGGTGAGCTGATTATATTACTTTTGGTCACATTTTATATCTTACAAACTATTCTGCTCCTCTATATATAACTCACTAACATTTTAAATTTTTTCACTAAATATTCTGAGCACATGCTAATAGCGCATGAGTGTTTCTGTTATTTCACGTGTACTTGGGAGGTACTAGAAAGACAAAGCCAGGTAAAGTCCAGCTCAGCACCAGATACCTCTGTGACTAATTCCAAAGAAGCTCTGTTGGAAATTCAAATGAGCAGGTACAAATGTTGCTGTAGAAACAGGCAGTTCTGGACTTTTATATAAAGTCAATTGCAGCTCCATTTCAATTATTCTTGTCCCCTCTCCTTTTTTCTCCCATTCAGAAATGTTTACTTCTGCTTTTCATGTCATCTGACTAGGAAATTTGTAACATTTTGCTCATGTACTATGTCACATATCATAATTAAGCAAAACAGATGTAGCAGCCTGTTTTGTAAATAATGTTTTTAAACACAAAAGTTCATACTATAGATATTCTATTGCTGGATTTAATGTACAGGGTCAGTTAGTTAATGTAGTTAAAATTGTTCTCAATTGAGAAATATTTATATATATCCTAAGCAGTGGTATAAATCTTCTTTCAATATATAGAATATTCCTTTTTCATTTTTACAAACAAAACTTGCATCCCCTTGTCATATTGTATAGGTTCTACATAGTTTCTTTTATATTCTGAAAAAGTATCTTTCTATATATAATATTTTTAACTCTATCTTCCAATTTGAGAGTAAGTATTAGATATGGGAGGAATCTACACATTTGGTACATTTCTATCTCTGTTGTTGGTTTCTGCTTAACCACCAACTTTGAAACAACAGAATAACTACTGGAAATGAAATGTCCGTGACTTTTGGATAGGAATAAAGTTAATAATTACAGAACAGCATAGAACGGTTTATTTGCGTGAAGTGAAAACAAAGTATCTGTGTCTGGGAAGTTATTAGAATTTGTTCTTCTTTATGTATTTGTTTTGGGCGGTTTTAAATATACTGTCCATCAACAAAAACAGGTTCTAGGGTGATGTACAAGATAACACAACAATAAAATACAATAAAAGTTCGACAATGGGTGGAATAAACATCTGCAGCAGCTAAAACCATTTATTTAAACTTCCCAATCTAGTACACTGCCTTGGTCTTTCCTGGTCTCCCATTAAGGTTGTAACCAAGTTGCCACCTATACTGTAGCACTAAACATTTCAGAATGCTGAGTAGTTAAATACACAGGCAACTTTAAAAAAAAAAAAACTTTTATTGATAGTTGATTAATATTTTGGGGAAGCCAAATATTTAAGTTACCTTATGGAAGCAAGATGGGCAGTGACAAATTTGATGAATAAAATAATACCCACATTATTATTTTTTTAAAAAAATATGCAAAATCTGATGCTGGAAACAGCCAAAAACATTTGCATTCTGCTGACTTTCTGCTTATCTGAGAGTTGTATGTATTAAGAGTCCTGAAAAGTTCTAGAGATAAATAATTAGTTTTGGTAAATCACTGATCTGAGCAAAAACAAGGCTGCAATCTTATGCATACTTATTTTTTTCAGTAGGACATGCTTTTATATAAATATGCTTAAGATTTAGAAGGGCTACAGTCATTTACTTACTGTATTCTAATGTTTTGTGTTTTTTGTTAGACCCCACATTTCTGCACATGGAGGCCAGCTTCTGCACATGGAATGATTTCTGTGTGCTTTATGTTAGAAATTGGACAGAGGGATGGATAGATTCCATAATTTTTTCTTTTTGTTCATGCCTTATACAACTTTTTATATGCTTGTGCAAGTCTTTGAGGAACAGTTCTGAATCTAACTTTTTTTTTCTTTTTTTCTTGATTACTTGGGCTGAAGCCATTGTGCCATGGGAGGATCATCCATGTAATAGCTCCTTTGAGTGTCTGTAGAATCTCCAGTTAAATATGAATTTTAGAAAGGCACAATTTTAAAAAAAACTCTTGTGTTTTCTATTGAAAATTTGGTGAGAACACAATATATTGCAAAATACCTGGGATGAAATTACTGAAACTTCATGCATTTTTGTCTATTTTAAAAATATAGTTTTAACTTTAGTGCCCATAAGAGCACTTTAAAAAATGTTCTAGCGGTATGCTACATTTTTTGTTCTGAAAAATAAAATAAAAATAATTTGTAGGTATTTCATGCAATAATGTTTTGAATACTAAAAATTGTTAAATGCTGTGGTTGTAGGAACTTGCCTAGGTTCTTAGGATTTCATCAGTGTTTATCTTACTAAATTTTTCAGATATTCTGTAATATAGGATATCTCACTTTTTGTCATCATATCGATAAAGAGCTTATCTGGAGAATTATTTGACCAAGGCCATTTTCTGAGTTGATTTTAAGCAGGCCATATTCTTGACATGCTCAACTGCATCAATATCTTGCTTTTACTAGAGCAGAATGTAACTGGTTGGATGCAAGTAATGCTTGTACATCATTCCTCCAAATGCTCTATTATGGGAAAGTGAGAGACACTGTTGCTTGGAATATGGAACCCTACATTGGTTGATTGGTTTTTTAAAACTAAAATTTATTTACCTGTAAATCTGATTTGCACACAAAAAACATTAAAGAAAGAATAATATTCTTTAGAAACGGTTGGCTTAAATTATCAGGAAAGGCATCATTTTGGAGTATCTTAGTGTGACAAAAATTTAATGTGACAATATAGAATAAACAATAGCATTTGGTATGAATGTTTATTGTCTGTTTGTTTATAGCAGGCTTGAGATGTATCTGAAGATTGAAGTTTTCAAATATACAACCAATACTGATTTGACTGCCTCACTGAGTCTTGGTAAGTTATCTTTATTAAATTATCATTATCAGGAGTGAAGCATATGACTTTATGGGATGAAGTGTGGCACAAAAATAATTCATATTGTGTTTTCTTTCTCATCTAGATTCTCTAACCCTGTTGAAAACCAGGTCTGATATGTTCACATATTAAAATGATTTGTTAGCTAAGTCATATTAAAAAGCAGGCCAGAAAACAGAACACTATTAAACAATTAGGAACAAATTGAAAGCACTTTATAGCTATACCAATGTCTATATGATAGTGTAAAGTATTGCATAACCTAATTCTATTGTTCATTCAGAAGTAACTGCAAATCAACACAAATTAGCTTTGATTGGGACAGCTTGATTCACTTCATCAAAAGAAAGAGACCACCCAATTCACCTTAATTTAGGTGCAGTTGCTGGGGAAAGAGCTCCTTTCAACCTTCTACAACACTGACTGAAATGCTTCCAGGTTGGGCAGCTTTGGAATTGCTTGCAACATTCACTGAAGCTGCCCCACATGAAAGACCTTCATTGTGAGCTGCTGGATCTTCAAACTGAATGCCCTCAGTACCATCCCATTGGGAAGCACTTTGACTAGTGTTGTAGGAGAGGACTCTTCTTAGCATTCTCCACAGTGCTCCTCAATGAAAGTTTTTAGTTCTTTCCAAAAGATCTCTTCCAACTAATGGAGAGCCAGTGGCTTAAATATAATTTATTCATGTTGCTGGCCTGTCTCAGGTAGGCCAGAGGAAAATTTCTTGTGGCCCTTGCTGAAAACTCAGTATGCATCAAGAGGTTTCTCAGCTAGACTTTCTGGCATACATTGGGAGATTCCCCACAACATGTTTGAACTCTCCCACTCAGGAAACCTTTTGGTTCATACCTAGAGAGCTTGTGACTGGCCACTTTTCCTGCATATTGCAGAATTTCCCGCAGTCTGTGATGGAGATGCCCAGTCTTAAGACCCCAGTGGTGCAGTAAATGGCTCCATTATCCTTCTCTCACTACTCTTGCCAAAGAAAGTTCCTGTCAGTAATAAGACTGCTATTGCTTTGCAAAGCAGGTATAAGAGTTGGTTCTTACACAGACAGCAAAAATAGCATGAAAGCAAATCTGGCCATTGCAAAAACAAGGGACAGATGGAAACCACCTTTTCCACACAAAAGAGGAGGCTGGGCAACCTATTCCATAGAGCTTGCTCTTGAAACACAGCAATCATTAGACTTATTTCATTATGGCTTCTAAGCTTTTCTTCAATAAAAACAACTTATCAGAAGGTCTTATATTTTCTGAGCTTGGCTAATTGGTTCCAGTCCTGCCTGTTGGACTAGAAACCTGACAGTAGCATCAAGGTATGCTTCACTGGCAGCTTTGTTGAAGTAAGGCACTTTTTTAAAACTTGCATTGGCTTCCTCTAAATTGTATCTTGAGTTTATGTAATGAAGCCTTCTCCTGAAAGTCTTATGGTTTCAGTTTAGTTTCAAACCTGGCTTTTTTTATTGTAAATCTTCTTTAAAAATCTGCAGGCAGACCCTGACCTGCCTAAAAAATGTACCTCTCTTTTTTTCAAAGATAATGCCCTTCTCTTGGGTTACATCTGATTGATTAAGAGTAAAGATGGCACAATCAGAAACAAAATATAAAAGGAACAGTAGACAATAACTCTATAACCAAGCACACATACAGTCAGTTCATGTTTGTCTGCATTTGCATAATTTCCCTTACAAAAGTGTACGTGGCTTGAGAGAATGATTTGGTCTAGTTAGAAATAGGTCACTGCTTATCTAAGTAGAGGCCAATGTCTACCACTACCACCGCCCCTGATGTAGAATTTTCCATCAATTTTCCAAACTATTGTTTTCCACAGCTATACTTTCAAACTGAGCGTAAAAAAGATTCATGCGGGTTTCTGATAGAATAGAAAGCTTCAGAGGACTGGTAGCACAGGCATACAGGAATTGCTTATCCTTTTCACAATTACCGTAACAAATTCCTGGCTTACTATGGTAGGATTTTGTCTTGTCAAAGCACATTGCTTCCCACTAGCCTTCTGATCCCATAAGTGATTTCCTCTCAGGTTGCTCCTCTACCTTAGCCTTTTTTTTTCCTCTTGTGGAGTTCTATTGCTACTCTAACTATAATGCTGCTTCCTTGTTTTCTATTTTTCCCCCAAGTCAGTTATCAGCTGATTTGAGATTCTTAATATTAATTTGGATTAACTTTTTGCATGGTTGCCCTTTACATCTATTAAGAGACCATTACTTATTCAGTCTTTATATTTGGGGCATCATTGTCTTTCCATTGAATGTAAACATGTTTGTCTATGATATATAAAATGTGGTACAATGCACAGTAGGCCTCAGTAGACCTAAGTCTATGTTTCTCCTGTTTCCCATTATGACAGCTTTTGAAACTGAGAGGACTATTAAAAGCAGTATGTAAAAAAAAAAAAAAAAAATCTCACCATGAGGTTTTGTAATATATAAAATATTCCATTTAAAAAGGTCAAGCTCTTGAACTAGCCTAAGGTAGATATTTAAAGCCTACTTTTTTTTTTTTCATATCCAGTCTTAGGATTTTTAGAAAATGATCTGTAATTTCATGAATGACAGTGTTTTTCATGTATGTATTTTGATATACAGAGTCGTGACTGTCATTGGTTATTTTGTACTGTATGGTATTGTATTACCTGGGAGAACAGGTGATGTCAAAAACTGGCAATGATCTCTGCCATCTAAGAATGATTAGATGAAGGCAGATTTGCCTCCAGTGTCTGAATGAGGATAGTGAAAGAGCTACCCAAGTGACTGCTTGACAGTAACTGGTGCTAATTAAATACAGAGTCAGATAATGACACTGATTCCTGGATGAAAGCCAATAGATTTCCTTTGACTTTCAGAAAACTTAATTTTCTAGCTCTGTTTATCTGTCAGCTTGGCGTGATGTTGCAGCTGACTTGGCATTCATAATGAAAACAATGAGTATCTACTTGCATATATTTTTATTAAACTAGTTAATGTAATAATTAGTTTATGTACTTGGTGATGTATTAAACAAAGTGTTGTTCATGTTTCTTAATAATGACCTACCATTGTGCTCCCAATATTTCTTCTGCATGGCTTGCTAATAGTTTGATTAGAGATCATCAGTTGAGGTTATGCTATATAGGTAGTCCCCAGTTTAAGAACAAGTTCTGTTCCCAATGACTGTCCTTAAGTCGAATTTTTAGGTAAGCCGGAACAGTATTATTGTATAATACTGTGTAAGTAGTATTGTGTAATGAACTCAAACCATTGTGTATTTAACTTGAAACATTGTGTATTTAACTTGAATTTTGGTACAGTAGGAACAAGTTCTGTTCCCAATGACTGTCCTTAAGTCGAATTTTTAGGTAAGCCGGAACAGTATTATTGTATAATACTGTGTAAGTAGTATTGTGTAATGAACTCAAACCATTGTGTATTTAACTTGAAACATTGTGTATTTAACTTGAATTTTGCTACAGTAGGCCTGGTTCTTAACTATGGGTCATCCTTAAATCAGGCGTTCTTAACCCTGGGATTACTTGTATTCATCTACGAAAGTATTTTACACGTGCTTTGTATTGCTTATAGGTTTGTACATTGTCTAATGTTTGAGAGTTGATATGTTCTACTACTGCTGTGCAAATGTAATCCCAAGATTAAGTGGCAGCCTCCAGGTTTGTGGTTTGCGCTGCTGCTACAGTTTACTTGTGCAAGAATTGCACAGAAATAGCAAATGTACCACAAAGGCTTATGGAACAGTTGCTATTCAGCTTTCTTACATATACTTGGAGGTTTGGCTATTCCAGTAAACTCAGTATTATATTGGTAGCAGTATAGGTTGCAGTAAGAGTTTTAGTTCTATATGTTTTGCTTCATTTCTGCATTTGTATGTCAAGTGAGGATATGTTGTAAACTCCAGAAGAAGAACATACAAGAATATCCTGATGACATTCAGCCATACCTTGCCACCCTAGCGATGCTGTTGAAATCCTGAACCAGTACTTGGAGGCTGTGACGATCTGAATGGAGTAAAATAAGCTTAATTTAAATCCCTTCAAGATGGAATTGCTATTCAGATGGCATCCTAACAATAGTGGTCCCAGTAATTATTTTGGATTAAGTTGTTCTCCCCTCCCCTTGAAGGAGTTGGCCCCTGACTAAGTGCTCCTCCTGGACATCTTTAAATAACACATGGAAGCTTTAGGTGGTGTACCAGTTATGGCCCTACTTGGGCTAGGATGCCCTTGTAACAGTAAATTATGTCTTAATTCCCATTTGGACAAGTGCAAGGCACATTACGTGGGGTTGTCTTTAGAGATGGAAGGTACCGCTAGTATGAAATGGATCAGCTACAGTGCTGGTGAATCAGTCCAACAAGTGAAGAATAACATCTATTTATAAGTTGTTGTATTAGTTACCAGTAGGCTTCCAGGCACAAGTCAGAGTGCTGAGTTGTTATCTTTAAAGCCCTACACAGTATAATACCAGTTTATATCAGGCAATGCCTTGACAGAATAGAATCTGCCTACTCAGTTTGGTCATTGTAAGCCACTTCAGAGTCTCTCTCTCCCCTTCCCCCCTTCTGAAGTCCATGAGGTACAGTCAAGTCATTAGTAGCTCCTTTTTATGGAACTCTCTCCCTGGAGGTATGTGCAGTTCCTACCCCCAGCTTTTCAAAAGCAGGTTCAAACTTTGGATCAAGCTATAAAAACTTGATCCATAAAAACTATAATAGTTTTTAATAGGATTTATTAACTGTATTGTTTTTGTTTGAGTGTTCACTGCTCAGAGTTCGTCAAGAGTGGGCTGTAAAATAAATAAAAAGTATTGAGAGTAGGTAAACATTTTGCAGTTTCACAGTTTGATAGGGAATTTATTATAGACATCTGATGAAGGTAAACAAAATACCTTAAACCTAGTTGTCCATTCCAAAGAGAAAACTACATTTAAAATGGATTTTTAAATTCTGCTATAGACGCATTAG